CCAAAGCAGATCTCATGAAGCCACACAGGAAATTACTCACACTCCAGATATTTGAGCGAGCGAAAGACCTTTCTCTGAGGCGTCACACGCTTGATGTTCGGGTGATCCTCCAGTGTGAGCACTCCATCCTTCTGCTTCTCATTGATCTGAATGACTTCAAAATCGCTAGGATAGTCACTGGCCGGGTTGTTGCGAGGTACAATCCTCCAGTTCTCAATGTCACTGCTTTTCAGCGCACTTGAAATAAATGTACTTCTGGCTTTAGCTGTGAAGTATCCATTAAAAGCCACAATATACTCTGGAACAAGAGCACAACTTATCAGAACTGGTGTTTAAGTAGCTCACTCACGCATTCACATCACAAAGTCTGAATCTTTCTTTATTCAGAGCAAATAATCACAGTTTGAGGCATTTTTTTATTGCTTTTAGAAATCCGCAATTTATTTCTCTGCTACATAATGGGAAGGGGTGGGGGGGTATTGCACCAGGAAACCTGCAAAATATGATAAAAGCCTTTGAAAGGAAGGTAGAATTTTAAGTATTATGGAAGATGAAATGACGTAGGAGGAGCAGGAGAGAGGGAACAGACCTACTGTCACATCCAGTAGTACAAACTTATATGCCAATTCAGTGTGTTTAACAAGTATGGTTTAAGACTCTGCACGGCACTGAGTTTTAGTGCAAATTACTGACTTTACCAACTATTACACACACATAGAAAATGAAGCCAGTCCCAACAGGGCAGTCCTTGAGGTGCATCAGTGATTTGTGAGCAGGCTCAGCCCCAGCACCCTCCACACTCAGCAGGCACACACAGAGGTGTCAGTGCTGACACCCTCCCCACGAGCACAGCTCCAGGGGGGAACACGACAGCTCCCTGGGGCAGCAGGGTTCAAGGTGTCCTCCTGCTTCCCCTGCCAGCTCAGCACTTCACCTCACTCGGCCTTTCATCTGCTCCCTTTGCCATTATCTGCCATTTTTCCATGCTCATATTACTGCTTCCAAACTTCAGCAAATCCACAGAGACTTCCTGCCTTTCTCTCTCCTTCAAGGCCCACTTGTGCAGTTACATTTCATAGAAGAGCCCAACCACACCCCCAGGCCGAAACAAACTGCTCCTGAACACTCCAAACTTACCCACCTGAGCCTTCACACTCCATTTCCACTTTTAACCCCCTCTTTGTTTCCCTCTCCCTTCTCCTGTCCCCAGATAAACAAAGAACCTCGGGAAAAAGGTTTCTCTTTTTGAATATAGAGAATTCAGCAGATGATTCTTCTACAGAACCCCTGAATGTTACAACTGCACAAACAGCACAGATCAGTGCCGCACACTGGAAATTCACAGGGATTTTTTGCTGGACTCTTTATTACCATGCTCCACGACTGTCGAAGTGAACTCCACTTTCAGAGTAAGGCGAGAACATCCAGGACAAACGTGAGCCTCCTGGGAGGAATTCCCTAGTCTGGTACCAAAATGTTTTTTGCCACAGAGTAAAATAACAACCAGAACAAGCCAGATGTTTGCAAACTTCATGGTCATAGAAGAAAATGGTTTCATTCCAAAAATTCCATATATTCAAATCACGATTTCCTTCTTCATAAACTAGTTCATTTTTGTTTCAGTAAACATTGCTTTCACTGTGCTGATCAGCTGCATATTCTTAAAGCTGGGTCCAGAGTAAGGAGAGATTTCATGGTCTTTTCAGGTCAAGCCTAACGAACAGGCTCATTTCTTTCTACGCTTCTTCTCCATTTTGCATTAAACCATTTGGTCACTCCGGATGTGGTAGCTGAGTCCTGTACTCCATTTCTGATGGCAAAGTTAACTCCCTAGAATGAGCAAAGCTGACTGCAAGCCAACCTGTAAGGCAGGGAAACAGAGAAAATGATTAGATTCATGTTTGTGCAACTGTATAGTCTGAAAAGCTAAAAAGACCCAAAACATGACACTCTTGGTAGCTCATTTTAGAAATCATCAGGAAAAATGTTCACATGCCATTTAATAATTTTTCAGTAACTCTCAAGTCTCTCCCTTGCTCGAATCAGAGCAGATCTGGAAAACCTGGGTGTTAATCTGACAACAGAACAGTCAACGGTAACAACCAAACTCGACCACCCTTTGTGTAAGGGAAGCAAAGAGGAAAAAATCAGACTCAAACTCTATGTCAAGGCCTGGCAAGGACAAGAGATACAAGAGGAGGCAAACTTGCAGTCCCTGTGCTTGAAAATCGACATGGAAACGGTCTTTCAAATTTGTTTGATCTGGGACGTGCATCACTACAACAGGGGCACCTGAAAAACAAGGGCTGATCACAGAATGCAGCAACATGAAGCTAAAGGAACGTGTTCAAAGCGTTTCCCACCTGGAGGGACACCCTCTTCCCCTTCTGTTCCAAAGTGCATAATGCACTCAGGAAATACTGCAATGCTAGCATTGTTTTACATTCCAAACACTTAACCAGCAACTGCTAGATTAAAGGCCATTAAGAGATAAGCAAAGAGAAACATTTATGCCTGGTTTGTCACACCACCCAGAGAAGCAGAGCAGAACTGTGCACTGCAGCTGTGAGCAGGGCTGGAAAGGAGGAGCCTTCCCACTATTTAGGGGAATGATGGACTGACCTCACAGCACAGCCACAGAAGGAAGCCAGTCTGAATGGGACAGCTGTTGCTTCATTTTTATTTAACTTTATTTAGCATTACTAAGTTTTCCCTTGACTGACAACACCATGACAAGCTGGGGACTGCTTGTGATTATAAAGTTTCCCCTTGATCCCTAAACCTGACAACAGTTACAGTACAGGACACGGACTGCTGGTCTTGCCGAGCTTTGCCAGCCTTATCACTTCCTTGGTTTATAACCCTTACGACAATAAAATAAAACAACCACACAAATAAGCAAAGCAAACACGCTCCGGGCTGATAACAGGTTGTACGCGAGCAGGATGCTGAAGTACGATGGAAACTGAGCGCAAAGGAACAGCTACCGCCGGGTCCGCTGTTTTAACGCTGCCCTCGCCAAGGGCTGGACGGGGCTCACCCTGCCAGCCTGCCCGTGCCCTGGAACGGCTGCGCTCGGGGCTCGCCGCTGCTCGTCCCGAGGGAGGGGACGGGCACAGGGACCGCGATGGACACGGCCGCGGGGAGCTGTGCCGGTGGCCCGGCACGGAGCGCGGTCCCGCCGGGAAACGGGCGAGCCCGGCGCTGCCGCGGCACAGCAGCGAGCGCGGCCGGCACCGACCCGGGCGGCGAACTGACAGCCGGCGGGTGAGGCAGCCCGAGACGAAGGGCGGCGAACACCGGGAAGGGCGCCGGGCCCGCCCGCCCCCCCGAGCCCTGAGGGAGCCGCGGCGCCCCCGCCCCGCCCGCCCCGCGCTCACCGCTCCGCCGCACGGCCCGCCGCCATCTTGGCCCTGTTTACCACCCAGCTCTCGCGAGAGCCGCGCGCACGCGCACGCGCACTGCCCGGCGCCGGGCGGAGCCGCTGCCCCAGGGGAGGGAGGGACGGAGGGAGCGGGGAATGAGGGGATGGATAGGGGATGGATAGAGGATGAGGGGATAGGGGGAT